TAAAATTGTAAAAATATGAAAACAAATCTTGTAAAAATTCATTTCTCATCGAAAAGATTTTTTCTTCATACAATATTGTCCTTAATATATATTATTCATAAAAGCAGTTAAAAGCTTCTCTAATTAAATAATGTCTTATATCTTATTTTTCGATTCAGAACAGATTTTTGGTAAGACGGGTTAGGTTTTACAAAACAAATTCGGTGATTTAAATTCTTCAAAGAATTCTGCTTTTAACTAATATACTCGCTAAAAAGTATCACGTTGAATTTCTCAAGCTTTCATAAAATTAAGTAAGGGGGAGAAATACACGTAATAAATATAAGATTTTTTAACAAAATGTTTCAAACATAATTTTATTCATTTGTAAATAAGTCCTGGAAATTTCATTATTTGATTTTTGCAAGAATTTCCAAATTAATATCTGTCATCGCAATAAAGAGGCTAAAATTTGCTTTGCTAAAAGTTAATACAACCGCTGACGTAAGAAAAGAAATTTTTAATGAAAATTTCGAATGTTCTAAAAAAGAGTAAAAAATTTAATTAAATATCCAAAATATACTTTGATCCTTCCTCTTAATAATAACAAACGGATTTTGACGATAAAACTATGTTTTCATTATGTTTGGAGTGTGGCATCCTGCATTATTAGAAAAAAACTAAAGAAAAGAAATATTCATAGAAATATGATTTAATTTTTTTATTCGGTTTATTAACCAGTTGTTAGTTTTTTTAGACGAAGAATAATTGAGTTTCGAGAATAATTCTCTAATTGTACTTAGGCGATCCTAAGGGAAGAAAAAAAAAGAAGGGAAAAAGAAAAAGAGAAAGAGAAAGAAAAAGAGAAAGAGGATGAGTAATGCAAAAGGCTGGTCATTAGCGAAAACAGGTGTCAAGAGGTATCTAGGCCAACGCGCCTGACCGAATTTCAAGTGACAATGGAGATTGTTATTTGGGAGAATAGAATTAAAGGTAATTAAAAGAAAGAAAGAAAACAGGCTTGGTAAAAGTGTATGAACATATGTACGATTGATAAAAATGTCGGTCATAGCATCTGGCCTACTTTTGTGTAGAAGACTCATTATCAATTTGGAGAAATGGGATTTTTAGAACAATGGAAAACGAAATATTAATCGGAGAAAGGTGTCTTTTGGGATGAGAAGGTGACCGCTGGAATTGTATACAGATTCTGAACTGTTA